ATATGAAATAGGACAGGTTTGTGCCATATTCTGAATTTCGGATGGAGGTATATAATTAATACAAAAATAATTTTCAAAATTTAATAATGAATGTTTACGAATTTAGATAGTGTTTAAATGAAATAAATTATCTAATATGTGAAATAGAGGAAGAAAAATGTAAGTGGGTGATGATTTTTTTTTTTTTTTTGTCAAAGAAAATCTATAAAATGGGGAAAATTTATCGGTGAGATATCTTGCAATTCACACATAAAAACAACACTTTCACACAACGCTTTAGTAGTAATTTCATTTATATTCACGGATATGCATATTTTCACCCAATGTATAAAAATGCGAGAAAATTTGATTGATTGATAGATGAGATTAATAAGAGTGGAAAGAAAGTCATGTATGTATATATAAGTGGATATGTACGAACTACAAATAGTTGGGACTTGGGAGGGAGAAAGAGAGAGGCTAGCCAAAACAATTGCAATTCACACGACAAAGCTTGACTCTTGGTTTCATTTTTACTATTGTTGTAGTTGACGACATTATTATATGACAAGCTAAGCTCGATTGCTGGCCGACTTTTAGATGCGCAGTTGTTTGTTGTACGTTGCAGGGCTGTCTCGATTAATTAATGTAGAAGGTTTGATTTTGGGAACCATTGCCCAATATGGGGGTGTTCACATTCTGTTTAGTGAATTAATCTATCAGCCGATTTCCAATTTCAGTACTGTTACCGCCCAATAATGAGGATTGAGGATGACTTGACACCGCCCATCTTTCCATCACATAAACCCTGCTGGTGGTGTCTAAATAATATTCATTTCATACCGTAAAATGACCAACTGTTTGGGGCTCTGACTTTTGAGTCTTACTTTGAGTCTTGACTTTTTCATTTCACACCGCCGCCGGCGTGAACTATATTTCTTTTTTATAATTTTACTGACCCTTTTTTAATGGTGTTATTCTCCAATAGATTTTAATGTATATTAAGACTGTATGTTGAATTTTAGATTAGCAAATTACATCAAGGAATCAAAGTATTTGAAAACAGCAAAATGGATTTAAAAGAAGTGATTCTCGTAACCGTCCAAGTCAATGTAATTCTTATGAGAGTTCAAAATTATACCACTTATTATTTATCATGATCTGTATAGGACCTTAGTTAAAATCTACCATGAGTAAGAAAATACTTTTCTAGACCTCAAATTAACTGAATTTTTGGGCATGATACTATACTCTAACCCTTGATGGGTGAATCCTAAGCCTTAGTTATCTAAATCACAGAGCCTAACCTTTAAGATTGTTCATGTAAATTTTTGCACATATTTTGACGAGTCATGACCGTCGTTTTTTGTTTCTCATTAAATTGATCTTAGTATAGGAGACTTATACAACTAAGAGATAAATTTTACTTTTTAAGGGTTTGGGAATAGTATCAGATGCCAACCTCTGATCAATTCAAGATGTAGATAGTGTTTTCTTACTCAGGGTATGTCGTACTCTAGATTTTATCTAAAGTAAGATAGAACCACCCATATATATATATATATATATATATATATATATATATATATATTGGGAGTTCTACGGTACCCAGGGTGAAATCTAGGGTACCACATACCTTGAGTATGAAAACGCTATCTAGACCGTGAATTGATTGAATTTTCGGACATGATAGTATACTCTAACCCTTAAAGATCACAATCTAGGCCTTAATTCTCTAAATCTTATACCCCAAGATCAATTTAATTAGAAACAATTATGGACGGTTATGATTCGCCCAAATATAGGCAAAAAAAAATGAATGCACCATCTTAGGGTTTATAGTTTATGATTTAGATAACTAGGACCTAGGGTTCACTCATTAAGAGTTAGGGTATAGTATCAGGTCCAAAATTCCTGTTAATTCGAGGTCTAGATAGAGTTTTCATACTCAAGGTATATGGTACCCCATATTTCACCCGGGGTACCATAGAAGGCACCATATATATATATATATATATGGTAATGACTGGTATACTCAAGTAGTTTACCATACTCGATGTGATATGACCGTTAGATCTCCTTTTCTGAGTTCCGACCAATCTTAACGGTCAATTAATATTTTCTATTAAATTGAACTTCGGGTTTGAGTTTTGAAAATCAGGGCCTGAGGTTTATCCATTAGAGGTTAGGGGATAGATATATCTCACTATAAGTACCTAGAGTATAGCATAGCTATACTCCAGGAGTACACCAGTTTGACCCTATATATAGGGTTAATATATTTGTAGGGCCCGAACTATTCACAAATTAAACATCTTCGCCAATCTTTTAAATCTATAACATCGTGGCCTCAACTATGCATCAAAGTTATGAAATTGGCCAAACCCGAGATTTAACCTTTACTTTGGACAGTCAAACGCGTTGACTAACTACCAACGCGCCACGTCATTGCCAAGCCTTTTTTTTCTTTCTTTCATCCGAGAGAGTGCTCTCACACACTTATCTCTTCACATGTTAAGGAGATCATGTAAAAGTTAGGGAACAGTAACCTTGATTCAAGTTTATATATAATAATTTTTTGTTTCTAAGGTCGATTGTAATATAAAGTGGTTTGCTCTTCATCTGCTAAAAAAAGATTTTACCATGGTTTTTGTACATTTTTGGTAATGCTCCACCTATGCATTACATGGTTCGTGTTCGTTTTGGACCCTTACCTTATTAAAAATAGTAAAGCAGAGAGAAGTACTTAAAAGAGAAGAAGATGAATAGGAGGAATAACAAATAAGAAGATGAATGAAGAAAGATAAGATAAAAGCATTCCTAACAAGGAAAAGAGAAGCATTGGGTGATTTGGAGAGGAGTAGAAGAAAGATAAACAAGAATTACAAGATGGTGAGGAAAAAAATATCAAAGATATGGAGAAACTAAGGAAGAAGAAAGAGCAAAGAGAATCGTGAGAAGGTTAAGCCTAACTGGACAGATTGAGGAGCAAGAACAAATGTGGAGAGAAGAGAAAATTGGAAAAGAATAGAATAAAAGAGGAGTCGATCTGGATAGGGGGAAGAAAAGAGAATGGGAGCTATGGCTATTAACGAGCGTATTGTGTATTTTTCACAAGTTTTGTACCTCTGAATTAACTTTTTTCTTGCACTAATAACTTATTTTATTCTTCGTTTAAAGTAATTTGGATTATTTAATTATCACATGCTGATTCAATATCCAATAATCAATTAAGATGTAATTTGGATAATTTAATTATCACATGCTGAATCAATATCCAATAATCAATTAAGACGTAGGTTTTTCCTCCCGATTTCAAAATAATCTTACTTCATTAGTGAAGTTCAGGTTACGAATCCCCACTACCACCATTTCATATGGATTCAGGCCTAATTGTACATGTTTTACCCCGTTTTACTTAGGTGTTTGTGGCAAATTCGCTCCTAAAAGGTTGGTTTTACGCTAGGTTTCTCGTGTTTTAGCATGTTTCAGGATTCAACAGGTGAAACCAACCTCGGAGTCGAAAGTTGGACGAAAAGGATCGAAAACCGGGAGAAGAGGTGAAAATGGCTAGTTCACGGCTTTTCCAGGAAGTTCACGGTCACTTACTGTGAACGGAGGCTGTTGACCATGAACAGAAGTGAACAAAACGGTGCGTTTTGGCGCACGCCTGCAGTTCACGGACGCGTTTCATGGTTCACGGCCGTGAACTGAGGTCGTCTTTGGTTTAAAAGATGAGCTGAAAGGAGGAGAGAGGGGAGAACCCATTTTTTTGAAAAGCCTTCTTCAGATTTCTGGAGAGAGAAACACAAACCAAAAGAGAAGAAGGCTAGGGTTTTGCTTCAAGGTGGATTTTGGGAAGATTTCCTCAAAGGAAAGTTCAACACAAGGGCCAAGAAGATTAGGAGCATCCTCCAAGATGGTTTACTCCTCTTCTCCTCGTGTTTTTCCTGTGTCTAGCATGGAGTAGATATCCTTTCACTTGGGTGTTGTGAAACCCTAACTCTAGCATGTAGTTTTCTTTTATGTGAATTGGATGATTGTCATTGGATATTGATTAATTCAATGATTGAGGTATTAAGCAATCTACCTTGCCACTTAACCCAGACTAGAGAGGGAAACATCCCTTCCAAGGGAGTCTCAATTGAGTTGGTATCCCTAGGGCTTAAGCAATTTGGTTAAGCACAATTAAGCCGACCAACCCTTGGGTTGAGATAGGGAGTAAGTTAACCATTGATTGCCTAGACCGAGAGGGCCTAGTGACAGCCTATAATGCATGCCTCGGTTTAGCAATCATGAGTGTGGTCTACGACCATATTTGCGTTCCTTAGCGGTAGACGATTGCCTCGCCCATAACGATCATTCCGGTTCACATACCATGGTAGTAGTTAGGGGGAAGCGACACCCGAGTGATCTTCCCACAAAGAGTTTTCAAAACTAATTACCTTTGGCTTATTTTATTTTAGTTAGCAACCTTTTAAACTAAAACTTGGTTGCTAGATAATGATTACAATGATTGAATTAGGGGTATACGGACCGGTCCGGGTTGATATTTAAACATACTTATCCTATATTGTACCCTACTAAGATTTATACTTGGACCTTAGGTGGGAGTTTATTGTTGTATTCGGGACGAGTCACATATTTATTTTTTTTCTACCGAATAAAAAAAAATCAATCTAGGCACGTTCGAAATAAGGTGGTTACTTTAAAAGGTAGGCCAAACAGTTAGAGAAAAGATGTGAAGTAATTATATATTGCATTTAACCAAAATGAAGACGAATTATTACTCACTACTTATTACCATTAAATGTTGCACAAAATTACATTACATGCGCGAGTGTTATTCTTATTTTGTTATTGTTGGTGTTATATTTCCTTTCTTTGTATGTGGTCTCTACGCGCATTGATTAATGTAGCATAATTTGGCCAGAATCAAAGTTTTTAAAACTTGGGCAACTTCCCAATCTTTCTCTCTCTCTCTTTCTGGCTTCAGGTTGGGGTTAAATGGGCCAGAATAATCCACCATCCTCTCTCTCTCTCTCTCTCTCTCTATGTCTATAAATAACATTGTCCTCCACCGGCGCACAAAAATGTATCAGTTGTGAAAACGATCGAAAAAAAGCTAAGCCCCCTCATATATATATAACAGAATCCCTCCATTTCCTCCCTCATCCTCTCTCTCTCTGATCTCCACTTCTTTTGGTGAATTACGTACTGCTCCGTGAACCAAGGCAGTCCGATGGCGGCGACGGCATTATTAGTGGCGACGTTGGTGATGGCGGCGGTGGAGTTCCGTCCTTGCTGGTCGCAGAACATCACCAGAGCCAGCTTCCCAAAAGGCTTCGTCTTCGGAACTGCCTCCTCTGCGTTCCAGGTATACATATAATATAGATTCCTCCAAATCTCTGTGTTTTCCTTTTCCCCCATTGATTCTCAATTAATTGGATTCTTCGCTTTAAACTCAAGCAATGGGAGGATTGATGAAAGAATGCGTAGGCGTAGCGTAGGTGTAAGAGAAAACAAAAGCGTATATAGTCACCCGTGAATCTTCTTTTGTATTGAATGTGGATGTTTTCTTCTTCTTGGGTTTATATTTGGACCGTCGTTTTCTGAGTATTTTAGTGGTATTTACGTTAATGGATGTGGTTTTTTTTTTCCTCTCTTCTTCGATTGTGGGATTTTCTTTTGGTGAGTATAGGGAAGTGGACGTTCTCTTCAGTTTGTGGTGCAATAGAAATTAAATGGGGAGTAATTACTAGTAATATTGGACTATTGGTCATAAGTGATTATGACCCTTAGCGAGTTATATTATAATAATAATAATAATAATTTAAAAAATTATTATAATTATTATTATTATGTGCATGAATTAATGAGTCTAAGATGGTCCACGAAACCGAAAGGCAAAGGCACAAGGAGGCCAAAGTGAGTGTGCCCGACCGGCCCTATCACCATCTAATTAATGTTATTTCGACTTGTATGCAAAAAATTCTGAGTATGCATATAATTATTTGAATGAATTTTCAGAATAAAGATTATTTGACTACACATAAGTTAACGATTTCGATATGTTGAGTTTGAATAAAGATTTATTCAACTTAGTTAGCTTGCCAACCGATTGAACTGCTTATTTGCGCCCTGCTTCCGAAGAAAATAAGGGAGGAAGATGAAAATTAATTGTCGAAATTGGATATTTTTAGAAAAATTTCCCTTCTTGAAAGCTACCCAGAGAAAGAAAAGGGAGAGGATAAAAATACTTTATAATCAGATCCAAATTGGAAGGAAAACACATTCTATTTCTCATCACACCCTACTTTTTTTCCTTTTTCCTTCATTTCTTTATCTAGTGCACTGTTTCTCTCTAACTTGAATATTTTGGATAACTCTTTGGACTTTGCTACGGTGACATGCATGTCACGGTGACATGCACTTTTCGGTCGACCTCATATAGGATCAGGTCGACCTAATCTGTTGTTTTAGTGTAAAAACAGTTTCATGGTGCCTACTTTGGAGATTCATATCTTACAATTGGCTAGATAGAAATTGGAGATTAAAAGCTTGTTTTGAAGCTGAATTGTCCCTCTACACATTAAAGTACTTGGGAGCTTAATAGAAAGTCCAGAAGACCATTTTTGAACCTGACCAAAAGGCTATGCCAAAACTGGGAAACTACCTGAAAATGGCTAAGTCTGGCAACGTGTTTGTCAAGCCTACTTTGGAGCTCAATTTGAGAAGTATGGATGCGAGTCAAGTCCAGGGGCCTCTACCACATTAAATTACGTATTTTTTTTATACAAAGGCAAGCCATTGGATGAAAGATTAAATATCTTTAAGGCTTCAAACAAAAGGCTCGAAGTTGCTACAAAGGCTGTTTTTCTGGCAGCTTGCTTGTGCTCGAAGTCTGCCAGAAAAACAGCCTTCGTAGCAACTTCGACCCTTTTGTTTGAAGCCTTACAGATATCCAATCTTTCATCCAATGTCTTGAATTTGTATAAAAACATACCTAATTTAACGTGGTAGAGGCTCCTGGACTCGACCCGCATTCATGCTTCTCGAATTGAGCTCCAAAATAGGCTTCACAAACACGTTTCCAGACTTAGCCATTTCCACGCAGTTTCCCAGTTTTGGCATAGCCTTTTGATGAGGTTCAAAAATGGTCTTCCGGACTTCCTATCGAGCTCTCAATCACTTCAATATGTAGAGGGACACTCCAGCTTCAAAACAAGTCATTAGTCTTCAATTTCCATCTAGCCAATTGTATGATATGAATATCCAAAGTAGGCACCATGAACTGTTTTTACACTGAAACAACAGATTAGGTCGACCTGATCCTATATGAGGTCGACCGGATCCTAAATGAGGTCGACCGGATCCTATATGAGGTCGACCGAATTCTGAATGAGGTCGACCGAATTCTGAATGAGGTCGACCTAATCCTAACTGAGGTCGACCGAAAAGTGCAAGTCACCGTGACATGCATGTCACCATAGGCACACCCTAACTCTTTATATATATATATATATATATCAGAGTAACTAGGTGTGGAGAAAATTTCATTTTAATTATATAAAATTTAGGTTACAATTTTTTCCACAAAAATAATAATTTTGATAATTATATAGAAGATAAACTATGGTACATCCATATAAATTATAATTATAATTATAGAAGATACAAAATGGCGCATCTCAAGTAGTTTTATTTTTAGAAAAGAAGTAATAACTACCTTATTCTTAGCGGTTTGAATTGCAAAATTTTCATGTCACCTAATTTGAACTGCAACATAACGCTGGTTAGAAATTCGATCTAGATTTGTTTTTTTTTTTTTTCTCCTTCTTCTTCTATTGACTTTACTCGATCCTATGGTATGAACTCAAGTATTCTACCTGTTTCTTGCTGTCGTTTTACCATATCCGTGGAAATAAATAAAAAAAGTTAGCTGCAGTACTTGTGATTGTGAATTGTGATAAAAAAGAAACGTTAGCTGTTCTGGCGCTGCCCGTTTGTTGGGTCCAACTCCAATCCAATTTCGGGGACTTCCCTATCCTATCGGTTGATTCCCTGCCCTACCCTGCCTTGCATGATGGGAGTAATTAATGATAAGAGAATGCATACATTAAAATGCCAACTCATCATCTTATTTGGCCCTTTTGATTTTGAAGGATTCACACTTGTCATTCTTGACTTAAAGGTTGCTAGCTACTTAATAGTGGAAGACAAGGAATTTAGATTCCGAATAATGATTAGTTAATAGTGGGAGGCGCAGGATCATCATTAATTAGGGATGACATGACATTGTTTTACTAAATTATTTTGATTCCATTTTCAAATACTCAAACCCTATACCCATCATATATTCATGCGGGGAGATATTTCGTAACCTATATATTATGTACCGCATTTTTGGTGTACTGTGACCTGTGAGTAATATCATCATCTCGTATATAAAATATTACAATACCTAGAATTTAACATGTAGTTCTTAAATTATAGCAGTAAAGGAACCCCATAAAATCGTGAATTGAACAAAGATATGACCATTCTTTATATGAATTCAGGCATACTATTAAAACATTCATTAATCCATTACATAAAGCAGGGGAATCAATTAAATATGTGATTTATGCTGGCACCTAAAATTATAGTCGCCTTATTCCCATCAACCGATTTGTTGGTTTTATCCATATCCGCTCCATATCCAGGTAATGCACGGATTTCCACGTTAACTTGGTCATAAATGGTTGATTACCCACACTCGCTAGTTTGATTTTCACTCGTATGATTAATCATTAGCGATTCCGCCATGGATCTGTCATCATCATACCACATTGACTTCTCCCTCTCTCTAGCTAGTTTTTAGTGTTTACATTTGAAATCTAAACCCAATTGTATTGAATGGGTCCTTTAAAATCGGGGTCACACATTAATTAGCTAATTATTATATAGATTCCGAATCCAGATTGTTATGTTACCTTCCATTGTCTTCTCTTGTTTATGTATAGACAATTTCTTCTCTTGGAACTTAATTGATTAATTTCCATGTAACGATGTATATATTTTGGTTTTGGATCCTGGGCGCGCAGTATGAAGGGGCAGTGAAAGCTGATGGGAGGGGACCAAGTATTTGGGACACATACTCTCATACTTTCGGTAATTTTTATATTAACTCTAATAATGCTGGTTCTCAATAAAATTCTCACATTAATTAAGCCCTCTAACGTTTACATATTAATGCGCCATATCTGCACATTAATCGTCTAAATGGGCTTTATTATATGTGCAGGGAAAATCATAGATTTCAGCAATGCCGATGTAGCAGTGGATCAATACCATCGTTTCAATGTACGGTAAAATCATAACTAACCATTTTGGTTTTATTAAGTTTTCAGCTCGATCGCTGTGAAAGAAAACTAAAAATGCATGGGCATGGGCATATGCAGGAGGATATACAGTTGATGAAAGGCATGGGAGTGGATGCCTACAGATTCTCCATCTCCTGGACCCGTATCTTTCCCAGTAAGCCCACTCCCCTAATTAATCTCTGCTTAATTAATTACCTTGAGGCATCATTTGTAGCGTTGATTGATTTATATTAGTAATAATATTAGCCAGTGAAGTCATATACACTCTAGTACATGTGTTGGCAATAGCCAGAACTTACACGATGGAGGTTTATCCAAAATTGTATTGGGATTAGTGGAGTGCATTATCATCTAATTAATCCAACTTTAAGAATTAGTATAATTGTCAAGTTATTAATTAATTAATATTAATTTGTGTCACCTAAATATTCTTGACAGATGGGACGGGCCAGATTAATGAAGCGGGAGTGGAGCATTACAACAAAGTGATAGACGCGTTATTGGGTAACGGAATCCAGCCGTATGTCACTCTCTACCACTGGGACCTTCCTCAGGCCTTGCACGACAAATACACCGGCTGGCTTGATCGCCAAATCATGTAAGCTACCGCACACTTCTTCGATATCAACATGACTAGGGTGTGTCGGGTTCGGTTACCCAAACCAAAACCCAAAAAAAAATCCAAAACCGAAATAACTGGAAACCGAACTCAAACCCGATAAGGACTTTTGGTTTCCTGTTACCCGGAACCCGAAAAATTATTTCGGGTTCTGGTTCGGTTAAATCATAACCGAAATCCGAAAACCCGAATGTCTAAGAATACGGGCTGAGTTCTATTCCTTGGAGGTTTTCAGACGGAACCCGAAAACCCGTTAAGTAAAACCGAAACCGAAAAATCCGAAATCCAAAACAAACCCAAACCTGAAAAAATGAAAATGTATCTAATCGGGTCGGTTTCGGGTAAACCCGAAAAACCAAACCCGAATGGACACCTCTAAACATGACCAGCAGCGGATCCAGGGGAGGGCCACACTGGGCCCGGGCCCAGCCCTCCCCCTGGCATAGAATGTATATAGCTTGTAATTTTAGCTCCCTCACTAATTTGGGCCCAGCCTTTTCTTCCTAAATCCAAAACCTCAAACCAAAATCAAATTCCCAAAAGCCCTTTCTCATCTTCTCACGAGGCCAAAAAATTAAAGGGAAAAGATCCATTCCTTGTCCGCAAACACTCCGCCCGCCCTTTTCCTCAATCCTCACTCTAGGTCTCCGGAGAAATCGCCGTTGCGGCCCTGCACGGCCTCATGACCAGCAGCCCAGCCTTATTTTGCGTTTTAAGCATGGTAAAGGAAACCGTACCGGACATCATACCGGATTCCTTTCTGGTATGGTATTTTGTGGTACGACCGTGGTTCAACCATTTTGTACCGGTAAATATCGTTTTTCACTATTGATAGAGAAATGAAATGCGATAGTATAAAAAATATAATCCATCAAAAAAAGAACCAAATAGAGCATTATACAACCACGGTGACCCATTTTCAACATAGAAAAATAGCAAAATAATATTCTTTTTAATTATTTTCCACATATTGGACAAGAATACAGAGAAATGAAGCTGAATCATAGACCAGGAAACCGGATCATACCGGATGGTTCAACCGGTTCAACCGGTCAAACCGAAAAAACCGGCCGGCAAGGTAAAATCGGCACAATAAGCCCACCGTACCGCTTTTGGTCCAATTTCCGGTTGAACCGGTTGTACCGGCCGGTACGATCCGGTTTCCTGGTCTATGGTTTTAAGGCATTCTATTATTTGTTGGGATTAGGAAAGGGACTGGAGATCTGTTGGCGTTGGGTCATGGGTAGAGAATAAATATTTTCAATTTTGTGCTTTGTATTATATACCTATATATAAGTTCTGTTTGTTGTTTAGTTTAACTGCATTAACCTATTGCTTTGTGAGAAAGAACTGCATTAACCCAATGTTGTGCTAGCTGTTTGTTGTGCTTATTGGAGTACTCGAATTAGAATTAGGAAGTTATTTTGATGAATTTGGTATGAATGAAGACTCAATTATTGATAAATTTGCTAAATTAAAAGACGATAGTATATAATTGACATTTTATTGAAAATTATTGTTATTATGACGCTACGCGGCTAATTTTTTGTTCAAATGCGGCCCAGTGCTCTATTATATTCTGGATCCGCCGCTGAACATGACTAGTCCACGGGAAACTTTCCACTCTCAGACGATATTATTATGATAGTTTTTGTTATCAGTTCTCATATCCTCTACTATTTTCACTATTATGTACAGTAATAGGCTAATAACTTTGCTTGGTGCATGTTTCTCTGTCCATCGCCTTCAAAATGCAGACAAGACTTCACGGCGTACGCGGAGACGTGCTTCCAAAAGTTCGGCGACCGAGTGAAGCACTGGATCACATTCAACGAGCCACACACGTTCGCCGTCCAGGGCTACGACGCCGGCCTCCAGGCCCCCGGCCGCTGCTCCGTCGCTCTCCGCCTCTGGTGCATAGAAGGCAACTCCGCCACCGAGCCGTACATCGTCGCGCACAACACCATCCTCGCCCACGCCTCCGCCGCCTCCGTGTACCGCCGGAAGTACAAGCCCGCCCAGAAGGGAGTCATCGGGCTTTCCTTCGACGTCATATGGTACGAGCCCGTATCCAGCTCGGCCAGCGACGTGGAAGCGGCCCAACGGGCCCAGGATTTCCAGCTGGGCTGGTTTCTGGACCCGTTGGTGTTGGGAGATTACCCGAGCTCGATGAGGATCCGGGTCGGGAACCGGCTGCAAAAGTTCTCGGGTTCTGAAGTTGCTGTGGTGAAAGGGTCGTTGGATTTCGTGGGGATCAATCATTACACGACGTATTATGCCAGCAATACCTCGTCCGGGATCGTGGACTTCCTGCTGAACGACACTCTTGCGGATTCCGACACCGTTGCCTTTCGTAAGTGGTTTGTTGATTAAGTTAAAGCAATTGGATTATATTTCTTTTAGAGCGTCGACTTTTACTCTAAGCTAATATAATGTTTTTGATTGGCTCAGCGTTCAAAAATGGGAAAGCTATTGGAGACAGGGTAAGTGCAACATTACGTAATAACCACAAGTTTACTTGGGTGAAATTAGCTAGGCTCTCGGTTTAATCTTTTCTTTTTCACTTGCAGGCGAATGCCATATGGTTATACATTGTACCGCAAGGGCTGAGAAGCTTGATGAACTACGTCAAGCAAAGATATGGAAATCCTCCGGTGTACATTACCGAAAACGGTACAAACATTTCCCTACTCTTATAAGACTCTTTGATTCTTATTACAAATTAAAAAAAAAAAAATACTTGTTTTTTATAAATGAGTTGAATCCAAAAGAACTCTTTAAAAAGTGAATTACTCATTTCATAGAATCAGTTTATTAGGCTAACAAGTTGGAAAGATGACATAAATTCAAGTTTAAAATATGGAACTCTGATTGTGGATTCTTTCTTTGACTTTCGCGCGATTGAAATTTTTTGTGATAACTAATCAATACAATTGTTTGTCGTGTGTTTGTATGATGGATGCGTATTGATAGGTATGGACGATCCAAATAGCTTGTTTAAATCTATCAAAGATGCACAGAAAGACGAGAAAAGAATTAGATACCTCAACGATTACCTCACGAGCTTGCTAGCTTCTATCAAGTAAACACACAAATAAAGCTCTCATAATGTTTTCTTTGGTTATGCTTCATTTGGAGGGAAAGCTAATATGTTGGTTTTGTGTGTTCGTGTTATATGTGTGAAATTTGCAGGGAAGACGGGTGCAATGTAAAAGGGTACTTCGTGTGGTCTTTACTTGACAATTGGGAGTGGTCTGGTGGATACACTTCCAGATTTGGTCTCTACTTTGTAGACTTTAAGGACAACCTTAAGAGATATCCCAAAGATTCTGTGAAGTGGTTCACAAATTTCTTGAGCCACAGTGCTTAGAAGTGGGAGATAAAAATACCATATGCATCCACTCACCAAAAGAAAAAGCAAAAAGGAAATAAAATTGTTTGTGTGGGCTTGGTGTGTATATATTTACACTTGAATATTGTTATTTAGGGGTATTTGTTTAATAAATCTTGTTATATAAAATTAATTGTTTCAAGTAGGGGTGGGCAAATGGTGCAGTTCAATCGCACTTCCCCGTATTATCAATCGGACCGCACCGCATGTGTCACTGTAATTCCGTTGTTGCGGTCGAACCAAACCGCATAAATACACGGTTTGGTGTGGCTTGAATTGTAGTGCATGTTTATAGTTACGCATGATTGGATTCCTCATTGATGGGTTGCACGGCGCCATTTCTGGATAGAGTAGAAAGTGTTTAACCAAACGTACACTCCAAGGCCATCACAAGCGATTAGCTTAAGCTTAGTGACATAGAGAAGGCCATTCAAATGCTTGAGAAATTTCTTTGCTCCATCCTGCAGAATAGTGTAAGTACAAAGTTCAACGGTTTGTTCAGTAAATTCGTAAAAGAATTGGCAAATCAAAACATAATAGCTAAATCAAATCACTTAAAGAGTGCTTAATTACACTATGAGGCCATGTCTATGATGGCAACTCGTTTCCTCGAGTTAAGGGTTTGCTTGTAACTCACAAGCGAGAGAACGACGTTGGTGTCAAAGGATATTTTCTTATTAATTCGATAACCAGAACTAACGACGAACGTATATATTTATAGAACGAGAAAACCTAATACTTGATCACTTACCCTAGCTGACCCAGCAGCCACCTAGGCTAATCGGCCACTAATCCAATCCGCCACCCAAGTGGAGAACTTGCTCCCCAAGGACTAATGTAATTGGCCCTAACCTCACTAACCCAATAACCGAACGATGCCCAAATCCATGAGATAGCAATAATACGAAATCAAAATAAACAACCAAGCCCACCTATCCAACCCATAACCCTCGTCGGCTGTATCCAGCTAACGAGTTTCCATCATTCCGTCCCCCTTCGAATTCAACCTTGTCCCCAAGGTTTGCCATCGACATCCTTCTGCCGCACTTCTGCCCGATGGCGAACCTTTCATCACATTTAAAACACAACCCTTGACTCCTGCACAAATGCTGCTCGTCCTAGCTCAACTACTTGCCTCCTGCCAAATTCCGAGGTGGTCCCGCCCCCCGCTGCCACATTAGCAGCCCTTGGTCCAGCTAACCCGCCGCCATACCCTACAGTCATCGAACTCAACCGTGGTTTGGACATCAAACGATCTGATGGCAGTTTATGCCGATGCAACATATCACTCTTCATTCGAGCCAAACTAATTGCATCACGGAGAGTTTGCGGCAGAAACATGCGAATTTCATCAGCGGTTTCAGACTTGAGGCCTCCTAGATACGTCCATACCAATGCTCACTGCGTCCATCCGACGCAACGGTTAGCTAACTTCTCGAACTCTCGTGGATAATCGCGGAGAGATCTCGCATGGTGTATTCGCGAGAGAGCTTGGTCATAACTTTCTCCCTCCGTCGGTCCAAAGTGTGCCCACAACTCCTGCAAAAATAGCTCTCACAAGATGGGCTCTTCCGCGTCCTTGTACGTTCTTTTCAGCCATTGCCACCACTGATTCGCTCTGATATAATCAAAGTTGCACAGGGTCAAGCTTCTCGAACCAAACAGAACCGGATAGGATGGAAATCGATCGGACAGTACTCACCCGTGAATAAGGGCAATCGATATATGAATCGATCGGACAGATTCAACTCGGAATAAAGGGCAATCGATATGGGTAGCTCGCCACAACCAGGGTGATTACCTAGCTGATAAGAGTCGCTCTAGCACTCTGGAGATTCTCGACAGAGTAATTAGGGCAAATTCCGCGTAGGAACTCGGCTTTAGCCTCTGAAATTCAATAATAATCGTCTAAGGGCAAAACCAACGTGTTCAGCCCTTTAAATAGGCAAAGTACAACCCAAATCCGACTCCAACATGGAAAAACAATCATAAACCGACTTTAAAACAAGGAACTCGGAAACAGCCCAGCAAACCCGTTAAGCCCAAACCGTTAAGCCTGGACCCGTTAAGTAAACCCGTTAAGGCTGGACCCCTTAAGCAAACCCGTTAAGGCTGCTTCTTGCAATCTGCCTTCTCTTCAACACTTCCTCCTTCTTCCTCCACTCAAATCATCATATATGGCTTCCCTCGAAATAGCTCCACATCCATTGCTCCAAAGTAGCTATCCAAATATGTGGCAAGCTTCTCCTTCAACGTCCTTGCCTTAGCACGTGTGACTGGCCCATTGATGTCCTCATCAGCCCCTCCTTCTTCAAAAGGATTTGCCCTCAAATCCGAATTGCCATCCAAATAAGGTGCAAGGTCAGAAACATTAAACGTTGCACTTACTCCATACTCTCCCGGCAAGTCGATCTTGTAGGCATTGCTTCCAATCTTCGAAACCACCTGGAAAGGACCATCACATCTGGGCATTAACTTCGATGTCCTCTGCTGGGGAAACCTCTCCTTCCTCAAATGCACCCACACCCAGTCGCCAACTTCAAAGTGCCTCGGTTTCCTGTTTTTGTTCACATTGCGCATGATCTGCTCCGTCCTTCTCTCAATGTTCAATCTCGCTTTCTCATGTAAACTCTTCACGAACTCAGCTTTCTTGGCTCCATCGAGATTGACCTGCTCATTCAAAGGTAATGGTATCAAATCCAATGGAGTGAATGGATTGAAACCATACACGAGCTCAAACGGAGTGAACTTCGTCGTCGAGTGCACCATCCTGTTGTAAGCAAACTCTACATGGGGAAGGCAGTCCTCCCAAACCTTGATGTTGCTTTTGATCACAGCTCGAAGCATCTGGGATAATGTTCGATTGACCACCTCTGTTTGCCCATCGGTTTGAGGGTGACATGTAGTAGAGAACAACAGCTTCGTCCCCAGTTTGCTCCACAACGTCTTCCAGAAGAAACTCAGAAACTTAGTATCTCGATCGGATATTATGGAACGCGGCATCCCATGCAATCGCACCACTTCCCTGAAAAACAAATCAGCCACGTTAACCGCATCGTCAGTCTTATGGCATGGGATAAAGTGTGCCATCTTCGAGAATCGATCCACCACCACGAAAATCGAATCTCTTCCCTTCCTTGTCCGCGGCAAACCAAGCACAAAATCCATAGCGATGTCGATCCATGGAGCATATGGAATCGGTAGCGGTGTGTACAATCCAGATGATTGCACCTTCGACTTGGCCTGCTTGCACTCCACACACCTCGCACACAGATTCTCCACGTCTCCCTTCATGTGCGGCCAATAGAAGTGCTCTTGTAGACAACTCAGCGTCTTGTCTACACCGAAATGTGCCATTAAGCCTCTTCCATGAGCCTCTTTCAACAGCAACTCTCGAAGTGATGATCGAGGAATACGCAACTGGTTAGCTCGAAACAAGTAGCCATCACTTCGATAGAACTTCCCATCGCCATGCTGCTCACAAGCTCTATAGATCTCCCCAAAGTCAGCATCATCAGAATAGAGCTCCTTGATATGCTCGAAACCCAAATACTTCACCCCCATTGTCGTGATCAACGAATGTCTTCGAGATAGGGCATCAGCAACTACATTTTCTTTGCCTTGCTTGTACTTGATCACATATGGAAAGGACTCAATGAACTCAACCCATCGAGCATGTCTCTTGTTCAGCTTGTGTTGAGCTTTCAAATACTTCAACGACTCGTGATCAGTGTGAATCACGAACTCCTTCGGCCAAAGATAGTGCTGCCATGTCTCTAAGCCTCGAACTAGAGCATAAAGCTCCTTGTCGTACGTCGGATAGTTGAGGGCAGCCCCACTCAACTTCTCGCTGAAGTAAGCAATCGGCTTCTTCTCTTGCATCAACATTGCTCCAATTCCCAAACCAGAAGCATCACACTCCACCTCGAATGTCTTATTGAAATCCGGCAACATCGGAATAGGTGAATGCGTGAGCTTGTGCTTGAGCAGCTCGAATGCTCTGGTCTGCTCCTCTCCCCAATGGAACTTCACGTTCTTCTTGATGATGGATGTCAATGGTGCGGCAATGGTGCTGAAGTTGGGCACAAATCGACGATAAAATCCAGCAAGCCCATGAAAGCTCAGCACCTCATTCACGTTGGTTGGAATAGGCCAATCGCGAATTGCTTTCACCTTCTCTTCATCCACCTTGACTCCATCTGCACTCACCACAAAACCAAGAAAAATAACACTAGAAGTGCAAAACGAGCACTTCTTGAGGTTAGCATACAATTTCTCCTTTCTCAACATCGCCAACACCTCTCTCAAGTGATTGAGATGATCCTCCATGCACTTTGAGTAGATCAGAATGTCGTCGAAGTATACGACCACGAAATTGCCAATGAATGGCCTCAAAACATGGTTCATCAGCCTCATGAACGTGCTAGGAGCATTGCTTAAACCAAAGGGCATCACCATCCATTCGTATAGACCCTGCTTGGTCTTAAACGCAGTCGTCCACTCGTCTCCCTCCTTCATACGAATTTGGTGGTAACCTGATCTCAAATCAATCTTGAAAAACACCGTAGAGCCATGTAATTCATCAAGCATATCATCTAATCGTGGAATTGGATGACGATACTTAACTGTAATTTGATTGATGGCTCGACAGTCTACACACATCCGCCATGTGTGATCCTTCTTTGGCACGAGAATCACCGGAACTGCACACGGGCTCAAACTTTCTCGAACATGCCCCTTCTCCATGAGCTCGTCAATCTGCCTTTGCAGCTCTTTGGTCTCTTCCGGGTTAGCTCGATATGCTGCCTTGTTTGGAATTTGAGCTCCCGACACGAAATCAATTTGGTGCTCAATTCCTCGAATAGGAGGCAGCCCCTTCGGTGCTTCCTCTGGAAACACATCCTCGAACTCATCCAACACCACTCTTGCTTCGCCTGGAACTTCTTGGACTAGCTCTTGATTGAGCAGCACGTCCCTGTACATGAGCACAATCAAAGGTTCTTGTGCACAGGCAGCTTGCTTCAAATCTCCATTGCGTGCTAGCATCACTGCCTTGGAATCCACAATTCCAGCTCCCTCTTCTCCTTTCTTGGCCGAGGCATTACTTGCATTTTCTTGCTCTCGACTTTGATGCATTTGGAGTTGATCTCGATATACTTCACTTGGAGACAGAGGCTTCAACACGAACTTCTTTCCTCCATGTTGCAACTTGTACTTATTTGTCACTCCATCATGCTGTGCTTGTCGATCAAATTGCCATGGCCTGCCAAAAAGCACATGTGCAGCTTGCATAGGCACTATATCACACAAAATCTCA